GTGTGCCTTGGCAGTCTTCGTACCTTCATGATGCCATTCCAGTTGTCGCCCGTGGAGACTTGAAATAAGGTAAGGAAGGCCATGCCAAAGTTCTCAAAGGTAGCGTGACGACTCATTCCCTCACATGGGTAGTCTTCGTTGCATACTGAGGATGAGAGTTAGATGGACGGGTGGATGTAGAAAGAGGAGAAGTTATCATGTCAAAAGGTGAGAGGATAAAGAAAAAGCGAAAATGGAACAGGAAGGGGGGAAAGGGTTGACAAAAGAAGAAGAGATTTGTTAATTTTGAATAACACTGTACATGTCACTGCTCCCAAAAAACGCAGAGGCAAGCACCATTTCTGACGCTAAGCTGACTGTCTAAACAAGCCAACTCAGTGTAGACAAAGTCTGTTATCAAATCGGTCGCAACGTGACCAAACACTCTATTTGTCTTTGAGCTTATATCCCAAGATAATCTCTGCAATGGCCTCAAGAAGCAACACTTGCATTTGCCACTAATCCGTTTTTCCTGCCAAGCTCCAATAGGAAGCATCGTTGCCACGGGCTGCAGCTGCAGCTCACAAGGGAAATGTGACAGTTCGGAAGAAATGTCTTCTTACTTCAATGTGGATATTTTAGGACAGCACTTATGTATCAGAATACTGGAGAGTGGGTTGAATCCCCTAATGGCAGTCTGACTGCAGGAGGGAGAACTGATGAAAGGGAATACAAGATGGAGAGGAAATAAGGAGATTTTCATAATCAAGTTAATACAACTCCTCCTGATTTTATGTGTACAAGCTGAGTTTACTATAATGAGTACACGGAATATGGAAGTCACAATTATATTTTCCCTTTTTGGTCAGACTCTGAAACATGCTGCTTTGTAACCGCCTCACACCGACAGTGATGATGTGTGGCAAATGTGCTCTTCCACTACAGCGCTATCCTGTCCTCTCAACAATTTCCACATGTGATGAAGGATTAATCAAACAAGTGGACTGAGTTTATGTAGATGACCACATAATACACATTTCTCTGAAGTTTAACTCATCCACTGTGAAATGGAAGATTGGTCCAACAATGCTGTTAATCATTTATCCAAGCAGAATGTTGGTTGAAATATTGAAATACATTTTTCACAATAAATCAATGTATCATAATAGTTTCAATAAGTGATTTTGTCTTTGTTGTACCTATGCTAGTGACATGTGTCTGATCACAAATAAATGTAACATCCTTGGTTCTCTTGAGCCTTTAATAGACTCTTTCTAGAAACTACCAAAGATCAAGGAAATCATTTATAGATTTGCAGTGAAAAACAAAAACGTTGTTATAAAATGTGTGCTTAATGACGTATTTCTTTTCGGCATCATGACTGGATGAGTACTCACCAAGTTCTCCAAATAGCTCTACTCCTAAGGCGGCGTAGATGAAAAACAGCAGCATGAAAAGCAGGCCCAGGTTACCCACCTGTAACACACACACACACACACACACACACACACACACACACACACACACACTACACACACACACACACACACACACACACACACACACACACACACACACACACACACACACACACACACACACACACACACACACACACACACACAGACAGGAGAACATCTTACCATGCACATGTTATAAACAATGTTCTTTGTGAGAAGCATTAGAAAACAAGAAACATCAACAAGTCATTGCTAATGTGCTAAATCAACCATTGACTTGCTTGCTATGCTCGATTGAACATCACTTGACCACATTTTTAATTATTACTCATATTGTACTACTTTTAAACAAGTAAGCAGGACATCAAATACAAGGTAAAAAAAAAAAAAAAATAAAAAGGTAAAATCAAATAAAAGATGTGCATTCAAAATGTCTAACCTCTTTCTAGCATGCTGTTCTCAAACTCTTCTTTGTTCTGCAAACCATGGAACAGTTTTCCTCTGAGACTTTTTATAAACTGGAGCCCTGATGCTGTTGGGATTTTCTGAGTTTGGGGGTTTGGGACTTGGCTCGGTTCCACCACTAAACAACCTTCCGTTACCACAACCTAATGGTGATGATGATGTTGCATGGTAAGCACTCAGGGCCAAATCTAATCCCTTAAGTCTTTAACACTCCACTAACAACACTGCTCTGCCGGGAATGAGCAAACGCACTGACAAATAGTTACTATAATTATAACGCCTGTGCTCTAAAGAGGGTTTGGATCACTTCACCTGCTTTTCAGGGGAAAGACCGTTCCAATCTGTTGTTGAGTTGGTTGAGGGAAAATGCAGAAACATAATGACAAGGCAAATTCTAAGGACATTTCCCATAGGTTGCTAATTGAATAACTTCTGATGAGATATGGTTTGAAGCAAGCGGGGTTGTAATACTTTCTCTATTACACTCAAGGTAGTTTTATCTTTGTTTGTTTTATCTCTCCTTTATAAATCACTTTAATGATAACATAAGGAAATCAGCTGACTCAGTAAGAATAATCTTTACATTTGAAACGCTGTAACCCTCTTTGCCTGATATGATTAACCTGGTCAGTATTGCATTTAATGAAAGTGCTATAGGGCATGGTGAAACAGGGCAAATCAAAGGCATGCTACATTAAGAAGCATTTACATTTGAAAACTTCTAAAGTTTCCTTTCAATGTAGACAAATAAGGGCCATTACATGCAGCGCACGCTGATGAGTCCCTGTGGACTGAGTGTAATTGAGGTAATTGCCATGTAACCTTTCATTTGGAGTGCTGTAATAATTCTAAAACGGACGGTTTGCCAGAAGTACATCTCCAAGTAATTGCTATGAGGCCTGGTGTACTCAACAATCTGTGCTTGATAATGACACGAGTCAATGGGAGATCCAGGATAAGGATGAATGCCTTTTGAGAAGAGGGATTTAATGGTGTATTCAATGGGGATGAATAACTTTCACTTTACTGGAGGAAGAGGTTTGCAATTCCATGATCTATTATTGAAATGATTTATCTCCATTTCTTAAGCTAAACACAAAAGCTTGTTATAGCTTGGATGCCTTTCCATAGCACAAATGGCATTTCATGTGGTCTCCACATTTGTGGTTTCTCAGCCATTTCCAGAGAAGACATAAAACAACTGTCTCCACTTTAGAGCCAACATGATATAGGCTATTAGTGTAAGTGAATGCTGGTTGCAGCCGTTTCACATCAGTTGCAGAGGAGAGGATAATAGACATTGTTGTAGGTAAAATCACATTTTGACTACGTCTTTGTAAAGCAAAGCCATTTCACTTAACATGTCAATGAGCCGATAAGCTTTCTACCCCATTTAGTCTAAGTGCATGGATCCCTCATTACATCTCCATGTCCTGCTATGGCTTATTAAATATATGAATTACTTGTGGAACTTGTGAAGCATTCACATCATGTCTAATCTCATGAGTTATTATTCTATCAGACATCTATCTGTGCGTGCCAAGATTATTCATACTTTCTGCCTTCCTATGCCAATATGACCTGTTCCCTTGCGTAACTGTACCCATAAGCCTTTGTTGAAATGTCAATACTGTCAATGTGATGTAATGAGAAAATGTTGGAAGCTTGCCATTTCATTTTTCACAGTGAAATATAGGGTGGTATCAGCTCAGGTTAATCTCTCGCCAGGTGTAATGCCTTCACTCTCACCTCAGCATGCACACATACACACAGCGAGACCTCCTGGAACTGTTTAATTAGCCCCAGTTGTAATTACCTTCCCAGATGCCCTTGGGATGAAGCAAAGGGCTCAGTGTTAATGAGAGGGGGATCAATAAAAAGGAAATACAACTAATCTGTTCCCCCTCACCTCTGCCTGCCCTCCTTTCCCCACACCACCTGTTTCCCTTTGTTTGCTTCATGTCACTTTTGATGGTCAATGGGTCACACTGTGTTCCTGCATGTCCATAAATGACCTGTCTGTCCAAACAACTGCCTGTATTTAAAGTTAAATGTCTACATTAAATGCACAATATGTAATTTTGTGCCACTAGGGGCCTTTCCATACAAACAAATAACAAAAGCCGGGGTTTGGTGTTGTTGTGCAAAAGCGTGTGATTATAGGAGATTGTAGTCAGCTTTTCTAGTGTTTACAACAAAACGGCAAAAACAGGTTTCATTTTAAAATCAGTTTTGTTGTGTCTGCCTACTGCTAATGTTTGCTCTGCTTGTTTCACTAACACTTTACAGCCAGTCGGCCTACTGTATGACGAGGAAGATCTAAAAGTGTGGTTTAAAACTAATCAACAACGCTGACAAATGAAAAAGATAATTTCCATGATTAAGATTATAGATTTCTCTTGGTCTGAAAATTGTTTAAAACATTTAGGAAGGTAAGTTCATAACTGAGCAAAGATAATTTACATAAACCTAGTTGTTTTGATACATTTTTTTGCAGAAAAGTTACATATGATCTCTAAACAAATGGGAAATGATAGGGTGCCGGATGCTTTTTGTGTATATTTTTAGGTAATTGAACTTTCAGTGCACTGGAACGATCTGGGACGGCCTAGAGACTGCCCGACTCTGTGGACACTTCACCATCAACTGAACTATAGACTGGTTTAAGAAGCCCCCGCTGTTTCTAACACACTGCGAACGCAGCGGGGGTCAGGGTACTCTCCATGGTGCTGAAAGTGAAAACAAGACAAAGCCAGTGTGTGTGTGTGTGTGTGTGTGTGTGTGTGTGTGTGTGTGTGTGTGTGTGTGTGTGTGTGTGTGTGTGTGTGTGTGTGTGTGTGTGTGTGTGTCAGTCAGCCAGTATGTGGCATGCATGAGTCATCTATAAGAGTTGCCTCCAGGACAAAAGAGAAAGAAAGGGGGGGGCTCATGCTACTCTGGCTATTGACTGAGACTGACCAACTCCCTCTCTGGGATTGTGTGTGTCTGTGAGGAACAAAGAGGCAGAGACAGTGTGTAAGTGTGTGTCCACCACTGTACCTGAGGCAGGGCTTGGACCACCGTATCCAATAGGGCTCTCATCCCTGTGGCCATCTTCAGCAGCTTCAGCACTGTGTGTGTGAGAGACATAGAGAGAGAGATAGAGAGAAAGTGTGGGCAGTTAGGGGGAAATCCCTCAGGTTCAATTACAGGCTTAATGGGAAACATTTAACTGGAGAAAGGTCAGTTCTTCATTCATTCTCCCATGGAACACACACACACACAGATCGCAGTTTCAACAGATATATTTTTAACACACCAGCAAGACAAAATCAAGGTTCAAATGCATTTCACTGAAAACAATTAAAAAACATTTGGACTTGTGAGCATGGGCCCGCAGATATACAAAGGGCAAATAGGTTGTTGCTCAGGAAACTTTAGCTCAGGTCTTTGCACATGCCTGCTTTTCAGTGAATGTGTGTGTGTACATATTTCACACATATAGTATACTGTACTGTACCTCGGGCTATCCTCAGTACTCTCATGATCCGGATGATGGTGGGGTTGATGGGCAGGGCAGCACTGAAATCGATCTCCTCCAGGGTGATGCCCATCACCGACAGAAGCACAATGGCGAGGTCCAACTGGTTCCACCTAGCGTTCACACACACAGAAAGTATGCACATGTAAATATGCAAAAAGGTCTGGCACCACACACAAAAACCAAAGCAAGTAAAAAACTAAATAACGAGGCATGCATTTATTATCAGTTATTATTAAGGCAATTTAATCTCCTTTAACCCTTATGTTGTGTTTGGGTCTCCCGTGACCCGTTTCAAGTTAAAATTATATAATAACTATGCTCTAGTTTTTTTTAACGGAACGAGGCTTCATGATATCCTCCACAACATCTATATAAACACTACACAACAGATTTTGACAATTTTAGCCAAGTCTGAAGTTCTCTAAAAAAAAAAAGTGTATAATTTGGTGTTCGGGTCTGGAAAGACTCAGGGTCAAATTTGACCCAATCAAGATTCATCTTTGACTTTAGACACCCCACCCCCACCCCCTTCATCTACTGTAACAATAATTGTTCGCAACATGCACCTGGACAGATGGAAAACAGATATTGCCAAATCAGATGAATATGGTGGGGAATCAAAGAGATTGAAGCACCCATAGTAGTTGCAACATCTCCATTAAGTACAACATATTTTTGACCTGATGTGACTAAATCACTTTTGCCCGGTGTTCATCTTTGATTGCCTCTCGTAGTTGCTTCAGGAGGTTCTGTAGTCCTCATTCATCTTCAGCATTTTTTGGAAGATAGTCAATACACGTATTTTTTGAAATCATCAGGGTGGCAACACCAGGCACACTGAGTGCTAACACATTTGGCACCGCTGATTCATTTGTGAGAATGCTTGCCAAAATATCTCATTTAAAATGCCAATGACAGTGAAATAACCCGCAAGACATGATAATGTCCCTCAGTTAATGGGGCTATGTCTGTTTCATTTGAAACCTTTTCTTTCTGGACTCATCCACCTTTTAGAAGCGGAAAAAAAAGCAAAGTGTATCACCCTCTATGAATGTAGCCATACAGTCAACTGAGGATGACAGCTGCCTTTGTTCATATTTACAATACAATGCTGCTTTATTACTTTATCAAAGTCATACAGACAGCAGCTCACATGATAGAAAAGCACCCGTTACTCATTTAAATTGACATTTGAATTTCATATCTCCGCAGCTGCCTTATTGCTTTTCGGCCTGTCACACAAACTTTTACATTATATATATAGTGCACACTTACACCAGCCGCAGCTCAGTTATTGCCACATGTAGCAGTGTGTTTGTGTGTAACCTGCTATTCCATTGACCCAGTTCTGCAGCTGGCCTGAGAGTCACCCCGGCCCTTAAACGACACACAATGACTGCTCACAGCTGTTGCTAACACTACATAAAAAGAGACAAAGTGCCAGCTGATAACCGTGCGATAAATGTGTCCGATATCCGCCCATCTCTTTCCCATTTCATCACTTATGTGTCTTCCTCCTTTTTTGTCTTTGATCAGTCCAGCTTCCCCTCCTATTTATTACCCGTCTCTTCCACGTCTTCTCGCTCGCTGTTCGCCACCTTAACTCTCTCTCTTCTCTAAAACTAAAATAAGCCAATGTCATTAAACTACCATCAGTGTAATATATGCTTCCAAATCTTCTTCTGACTTTAATTAGTCCCCACATATCCCTGAGAAGAATAAGACATCCGTCTCGTCGTCGTGCACATTTGGGTGAGTGACAAATCAATTAGTCTCTGGGCTCTGAGTGAATGAATGTGGGAGGGAACAGGCGGGCGCTGAGGTGCGTTTCCCACGAAGGTCAAACAAAGGTGAGTACAGTAAGTTGGAGAAATGGAAAGTGCAGTGTCACAAGCAGAGAACCCATAAATAACTTGGTTTCTTTAAGCAAAATGGTGCTATAGTTCACCCAATAGCTTTTTACAAGGAGAAAGGATTGTCCGATCCATTTTGAAAGACTTACATTTTGAAAAAAGGGAACGAAAAGCTGATTTGATGGTGAGCAAAAACAACGTAAAAATTGAAAGAAAGCTGCAAACATTTGTGTCTTACTGTGACAATCAGGATAATAATGTGTGATAACTGTCAAGATATTTGTACCACAATATGGTTTAGCTAAGTTCTAACTGAACGCCTCAGAGCCGCTCACATCTTTCAACGTGTTTCATAATCCTCTGTATCGTCAACGCTGTTATTCCCTAGTCCATTTATAATGATCAAAGCAAAAGGCGGATTTTTGCAGCCATTACTCTTTGAACTAAATAACTGTTTATTATGGCACTATTTATACCATACGTTAATTCATCAGATTATGGGATGTGCCTGGAGCCCCCGACAGTGGCTCCAATGTTTCATTTCCACATCAAACATGTGATGAGTGAGCTGAGCTGAACAGGAGATATTGTCACGTTTGCTGACATTGAATATTGTTTTGTAATATTCTTCTTTCTCGCATCTAATTCAGAGGCCATTTGTGTTTTCAGGCTATAGGAAAGCTGATTGACAATCATCACGCACCGTCACCTCTGAGCCAGATTTACAAATCCCACAATTAATTGATCAGTATTGCTATAAGAAAGCTGTCTTGTATTCTTACTATACATGTGTAAATACATAGTACTACGAATAAGCACGTACATACACTTATAGGCACACAGAAAAGGATACACACACACACACACACACACACACACACACACACACACACACACACACACACACACACACACACACACACACACACACACACACACACACACACACACACACACACACACACACACACACACACACACTGTACCTTTCTTTAAAGAAGCGACGGAAGCCGAAGGCGGTGAGTTTGAGTGCCGATTCGAGCACAAACATGGAAGTGAAGAAATAGTTGCAGTACTTCAGGGCGAGATCCAGAGACTGGAAAGAGAGTGTGAAAAAGGTGTGTGTGTGTGTGTGTGTGTGTGTGTGTGTGTGTGTGTGTGTGTGTGTGTGTGTGTGTGTGTGTGTGTGTGTGTGTGCACGTGTGTAAACAGGGTAGGATGGAGTATTAGCGTCAGGAGGGAAACCGAAGAACAGGAATAGTTCCCATTTGTTTGCAGAGTACAATCAAACATGCCAGAAGGCAAAGCGGGACATCTTCCATTCGTGGAACAACAAACACTCATACATTACATCCAGTAACAAATACACCAACCATATTTTAGCGTAGTATTTAAATAGTCTAAAGGCAAGCATGTTTAATTATCTTAAACACCCAGCCCAGCTTCCTGTTACTGCAGAGGCTGTGGATTTGTTCTGCTCAGCTGTTTTCTCCTTCAATAAATAGAGCTGTGTCTTCTAAGAGGCGGGAGGCAGGCAAATGTCAACACAAACAGCTGACAAATACCGTCAAGACCTGTGATATTTATCTGCTGCTCGGTCAGTTTGAGAAAGCTTGCTCCATTTTAAATGTCAAACGGCCATCTTATCTCAAGGATAATCACTTTCCTCACCCTAAAAAAAAACAACACAACCAACGCTATCAGGCTTTTGAGCCTTCATTCATCACACATACAGATACAGCTAACACCGCTCTGACAGAATAGAATCAACAGTGCAATCACCGCTCCTTTGTATGGACTCCAGCTAACACTGCCTGGTTACAGCTTCATGGTGGTACCACTGTGTCTTTATAAGAAGCTGCTGTTTGACAGACATTAATACTCAGCATAACATCCAGGAATAAGTTCCCGCCTACTGAGATGGAGCTTGTAGGAGTCCTTCTGTTTGTGTCGTCATTTTGTGAAACAGGCACTTTTGGGAAAGTCAGAGCTAAGTTGCAAAAATCTCTAATTACTGACATAAATTCAAGTTGCTTCTCCTCATTTATCACCCACACACATAACTACTCTAGTGGACCAGCGCCAGCTGCTGCACTTCCTAAGCAAGACACACCAATTGTTTTCATAGAAAACCACATCAATTACAGCTCTTTGTAGCTTACACGAGGTTGATCGTAGTGCTCTAAGGACATGGTGATGACGTTGATGGCGATGATGAAGGTGATGATGAGGTCCAGGTAGTGGTTTGTGCACAGTGTGTGGATCATCAGGCGTATGTGGCCGTAGCTGGCAAAGTAGGGCAGCTTCTGGGCTTCTGTTGGCAGAACAATATATCAACAGGCTTTTAAATATATTCAATCGAATTTACATTTTAAAGAGGGTATCATCAGATTTATCTTTTTTTTCTTTATCCTGCAACTGGATGACTAACGGAAGCGCTATTTTCTGTATACACTATGCTTTCTGCCCTCCCGCTTCTTCACATTTTGTTTGTTTGTCCGATGCATAAATTGTCTGTACTAATAATGAAATAGTAGAATAATAAAAATAAAAAAGATGATTGTGTTATTTAAATATTTCGTTTTCCCTGCAGTGATTTAAAGTAGTTATCATGTCAGGCTTGGGTCAGATTGCTTTGAAATGTAATCACTGAAAGAAATTACATAGCAATGTTTGTAATTAGCAACTTAATCCATTGGTTTACAAAAATAAAATCTATTCCAAATACTTTTGGTAATCAGGCAAACCTTCAAGCTATAACTAAATAACTAATATTGAAGCAACATTAAAACAAACTGCCCCTCTTCCTACTTGAAACTAAATTAGAGAGCTGCTCCAATGAGAGCTTGCGATTGCAAAATTAGCTTTGAACAAGCTGGAATCACTCCTAGAAAAACCAACAGCAATTAAGACAATTACTGCTTGTTTGTTTATTATAATCTGTCTGTCCCTAATTCCATCTCTTCTCCTCTCAACAGCACATCATGTCATCAGCGTTAATCACAGCTCTGCATGCTAATAGAAAGTGATTCTTATGATGTGTCATTGTAACTACAGAGAGTTCTTCAAGCCCTTGTTTCAGGCTTTGTAGTGTTTGTAATAATAATAATCTTCATACATTCTCCAGAAATCCATCCTGCCTCTCCTTTCTTAATTACTGTACCAATCTTTTGTCTCATTCTTTTTCTGTCCGCCAGCTCTTAATGAGCCTCTGTGTTTCCCCCAGCTCCCTCTCCTGTCATACTTCTCCTCTTCTTTTCCATGCGCCGCTGACGCTTCTCCTCACGCCTTTTGGCCTCTTCAACCTCCTGGTTCTGGCGACACTTGTGGAAATTCTCCACAACCACACCGACAAACATGTTGAGGACGAAGAAGCTAACAATAAGCAGGAAGGAGATGAAATACAGCAGCATCCACGGATTGTTGTTGGTCACAGGCTGGAGTTGAATCGATGCGTTTTTTTCAAGATTGAAATTGATAACAAACAGAGAAAGAAAGGGAAAGGAAAACAGATGTTACTAGATGTACTCTTTGGATAGTGAAGATGTGCCTCAGGTTTTTCGTTTACATTAGCTATATAGATATATAGATAGATAGAGGGAGAGAAATTAATAAATAAGTGCACATTCTATGGACTTGCACCAAAGATATTGATATTGAAGTGACTGTTATTTTGTATATATTATTTTGTATGTATTGATTGTTGTGTTTGTTATCTTAATGTGTGCATATGTGTAAATGTGTCTGTTGATTGTGTATATAGGATATACATATTTTATACATATTTGTATATTATATAATGTTATATTCGGGATTGTTGGAAACATCATTTCGATCTCTCTGTCTGTAAAAACAAACTAACTAAGATTGACATTAAAGTTGACTTTGACTTTTGACTTAAGACACTATAAATAAACAGTCCAAAATATTTCTGAAATAGAAATAAAATTAACAAAAGTGAAACAAATATATACATAGGCCTATACATGTGGAAAATATACATGTGGAAATACACATTTCCAGTAACAAATATAATGCAAGATATTATTGTGCAAGAAATGGATATATACGTATATAAATGTAAATGTGGGCACCTGTTGGTCCACAGCCACAGCATCCAGGCCGTGATACATGATGTTGACCCAGCCGTCCTTTGAGGCCAGCACAAACAGGGACATCAGAGCCTGGACAACAGCAGGGAAAGGAAAAGAAAGGGAGACTCTTATCATTATTTTATGGACAATTGTCTTTCCTGTTTCTTATTTCCTGTTGCACAGCAGACATGCAATACACAGAAATGTCACACAAACCTGCCCCAGGTTGTCAAAGTTGTACTTGTGGTGGACCCACTTGTAGTTGGCTAGCATACAGTCGGACTTGTTGGTGATGTTTTTGACGTCGGGGCCAAAGCAGTAAAAGAACTTGCCTTTAAACAGCTGTCAGAAGAAGAGAAATGAAACCACGCTTTTGATGCTGTCTGACTACACATGAAAAATAAGCTTTAAGAGGCTCCTGTGATGAGATGAAAGGTCGCTCCTGAGTGAAATAAGTAGCCGGTCAAAGATTGCACCGGCATAAAAAGTTATGCTATGATGAAAAGGAAGCAGGATGACAATGAGATTTACTTTAGGCAGGAATGCATGTGTGCACTCAAAGCTAAGATGATAACAGACACTCACAGTAATGGGTAAGAAACACATAAATACACCTTGAGTAGTTCAGCAATTTCCTTACTTATAATACATTAGATTACATATTATAAGATGAAAGCTGCCATTTTGTCCTACCTGGACCCCAAGAATGCCAAAGATGATGAAGAATGCACAACAGATGAGAACAATGTTGCCGATGGGTTTGAGGGAGGTGATGAGGGTCTCCACCACCAGCTTCAGACCTGGAGCTCTGCTGATCACTCTGAGGAGGGGAGAGCGGTAAGAGGAGAATACGATTAACCAACTCATTAAATGTATCCATTTAGTAGCGTTAAAATTCAACAAATTAGCTCAACGTCGGCACTATTCATGGGAGAGCAAACATATTTATTGAAGAGTACACCAATGATTAATTACTGTTGCATTTCAGTCTGCTGTGGAGATTGTTACATAACTTTAGAAATGTTGTTTGTGATCTGTTTCAGCACAGATAATTGCTTTTCTGTCATTTTGTTTGGGAAAAACATCTTGATCCATTAAGAACCAAGCTGTACAGAGCTACCATAAAAAAACATTATAAATAAGCAGATGCAAACTGCTTATTAATTATTATTTGTACCTGAGGGGACGCAGTGTTCTTAGCAGCCTGAGCACTCTGAGCACACCCAAGATCTTGGCCCCGCCCGCCATGGAAACCACAATGTCAATCAAAGACACAAAAACCAGGAAGCCATCCAGAACGTTCCAGCTGCTCCGCAGGTAAGAATGATCCCCTACATACAGACCCATGGAGACCACCTGAAGAGAGAACGTTAGGTATGGCTGAATATAAGAACATGGACTGTCGGTTTCTTGTTCAGCTCTGTAAAATAAACAGTCGAATGTGGAAAAATACGAACACGATGCAGAAAAAAATAAAAATAAAGATGAAAGAAAAAGAGCTAGAGGATGATGCACACACACACACACACACACACACACACACACACACACACACACACACACACACACACACACACACACACACACACACACACACACACACACACGTCTGTCAACCTGAGCAGACACAGCGGGCTATATCTGCCAAACACATGAACACATACAATATGCGCAAATACACTCCAAAAAATTAGATTAATTCGAAAAAAAGAAGACTCTAGGAAAATGGTACCTAGTTATGCAATTTACACAGAATAGCGAGTGTCCACAATACCACCATCTATGTTGTTCTATCCGTTGGTTCAGTGATGTGTGTTGCAGTGTTTACGTCCCGATGCCTTTAAGCTTGCTTGTTAACATTTTATAGTAACACCACTTGACAGGCAATGGTACGTTACTCCTCTGTGACTTTGAAAGCGTGATATTGATGTTATGCAGGCATTGTAATACATGCACACAGCTGAATCTGGTGTTTTCCTATGCAGCAGTGGGAGCAACAAGAATCTGAAACTGACATTTGAATCTGTTTGCCGTGTGTCTAGTAAAGCCCCAGAGGCTCGGTGGGGGTTAGCATGCAAACATATCAAGATGGTGGAAAGATCAATGCATGGTAAACATGTTAGGGCTGAATGCCGAAATGTACACTGAATGTAGAAAATGTCTAAGCATGTGTTGTGTTCACAATTCTGAATATATATTATTGTTAAAGTTTAGCGATAATGCGGGACATAGCATTGCTTAGTCGTACAACTCCAATAATTAGAGAGCCACTTTGTGTCTGAAGCTGACTCATAAAATAACACTTGTACAAGTTTTGCAACATGCTGACACATCATAAACCCTGCTGAGCTTTTTATGTGGCTGCAGCTTGTACGCAGCACTAGCCTCAGTGGAGGAGTCGTACCGAGAGATTAATGCTACACAAACAATCGCACAGCAACACACATTACTGAGATACGAGAGGCGCAGACAGACAGAGGCGCAGAGGGGGGCTCGGCCAGGGGGCTGACAACTCTGTGGCTTTTTGACGGTCTGTGATTGGTTAATAATTGATTGTGGGAGTGCATAATTGATGGTCCACTTGTGCCAAAGTCTTTCACAGAGAAAACAGAGACAGTGGCAAGCGGAGGGACGGAGAGAATATAAAAGACAGAAGGGTTGCGGGAAGATCAGGAAGGAAGAAAAAGACTGAAGAGAACAGAGGGACCCTAAGGAGGTTGGAACACACACTTTATAAAGACGCTGTCAACATCTGCGAGGACAGGAGGATGGAGAGAGTGTGGCGGAGTGCTGGAGAAGTATTGCATCCATACAAAAAAAGCCTAGCTGCTAATTAATGACAATGCTTGATTGCTCTATTCTCCAAAGGAACGGGGGGGATTGCAAGGAAAGAAGGAGCGGGGAAGGGGTTGGGCTGTGGGAGCACTGAAGCAAAGTCAATTCAGTGAGAGACCAAAAGAAGACGCCTCTAAACTACACCCAGGACTCATTGGAAGAAATACAGAGACAGGTTGTAAAATGTTACCTTGAGTGTCATCTCGGTCACAAATATGGCAGTAAAGACGTAGTTGGAGATGGTGAGGAAGACTCTTTCCTGGAGGGGATGAGAGAGGTTGTCAGAAAGGTGAGATGGGGCAATTGGGGGTTGTTAAATCTGACTTACTGCACCTTTAAGATAATACAATGGAGTTTATCTCCAGAGAATAACCAGGGTTAGCTCAACAGCTTCTAGACACACATGCACAGACACACTTTTCAGATGGATTTACCAAGCTGCCCTGAAGTATCTTAGGCCTCTCCAGAGCTACTGTGATGCAGTTGGAGAAGATGAAGGCCAACACCACATAGTCAAACAGCTTATGGGCGACAATGGACTGGCATATCTGTCTGAACCTGGAGTAGAAGGAGAGGAGAGGAGATGATAGGAGAGAGGAGAGGAGAGGAGAGAGGAGAGGAGAGGAGAGAGGAGAGGAGAAGAGAGGAGAGGAGAAGAGAGGAGAGGAGATGAGAGGAGATGATAGGAGAGAGGAGAGGAGAGGAGATGAGATGAGAGGAGAGAGGAGAGGAGAAGAGAGGAGAGGAGAGGAAAGGAGAGAAGAGGAGATGAGAGGAGATGAGAGGATAGGAGAGGAAAGGAGAGGAGAGGAGATGAGAGGAGAGGAGAGGAGAGGATAGGAGAGGAGATGAGAGGAGAGGAGATGATAGGAGCGGAGAGGAGAAGAGAGGAGAGGAGATGAGAGGAGAGGAGAGGAGAGGAGAGGAGAGGAGAGGAGAGGAGAGGAGAGGGGAGGAGAGGAGAGGAGATGAGAGGAGAAGAGATGGAGGAGAGGAGAGGAGATGATAGGAGAGGAGAGGGGAGGAGAGGAGAGGAGATGATAGGAGAGGAGAGGAGAGGAGAAGAGAGGAGAGGAGAGAAGAGGAGAGGAGATGAGAGGAGAGGAGAGGAGAGGAGAGGAGAGGAGAGGAGAGGAGAGGAGAGGAGAGGAGAGGAGAGGAGAGGAGAGGAGAGGAGAGGAGAGGAGAGGAGATGAGAGGAGAGGAGAGGAGAGGAGAGGAGAGGAGAGGAGAGGAGAGGAGAAGAAAGGAGATGATAGGAGAGGAAAGGAGAGGAGAGGAGAGGAGAGGAGAGGAGAGGAGAGGAGAGGAGAGGAGGAATGAGTTGAAGTTGAAGTTGAAGAAAGGAAGAAACAAAGGAAAAATAAAAGTTTAATCACACATATAAAATGCAATTTAAGCAAACAATTGGCAGACACAATTAGGGGTGACAATACATTAAGGTAAGGCCACACTCCGCCACAACACAATCTCCATCCAATGAGAATGGGAGCCGAGTCCCCTGACAGTGAATGGGAGCTCCCTTACATCTTCTTGAGTAAATAGCCTCATTCAGCCTCTGTTTACATCGCTACTAATTCAAAACAAATTAAATTAACAACACTCTCAGAAGCACCACACTCCTGAGAACAGAGCTCTGCTGGGAGAACAGAAGAGAGGGATAATCGAGGATCAGACCGAGAGAAAAGGAGAGAGAGAGATACTGAACATGCATTTCTTCAACATGTGACGCTGCGTTCTGCCAACAAGCAATTAAATATATTTGCTGTGTTGATTGGAACCGACGAAAAGATACAGAATGAATTAAATTAAAAAGTTATTGTATGTTGGAACAAACATTTAAATGGCTTTTATTAAAACTGTTTCTATCCAAACTGCAGACAGTAACACAACATCACAAGTTAATGCAGAATTTAATGAATTATCCATGGTATTTAATGTACCATATCCCCCCCGGGGTCTGTTTCTTGCTCTCAAACAAGAGGGGAGATGGTAAGAAATATCAATTCATTTTTTTACAAGGTGTCGATCAATACTCTAATGTAGTCCTTCTCTGTGGATGCTTGGAAACCCGACCTTCCTATCGATGAGGCGGGAAAAGGAATCTGCCCACCCATCCTTGATATTGTTTTGATGAGACGCGTCCTGTGGCCAGACCATAATGATTGTATTACAGGCTGTTCACACTTTGGCTTAAAACCAGCCTGTGTTTTGGGTCAACACACACTTGACGCAGACAATCACTAAATGCAGTGTGTACAACCGTTTTCATTAGCCTCTTCAAGACTAGATGGCGGCTTCTTCTGCCAACAGTCTTTCAGAGGCTATAGCTGGCTCAGATTTAAGGCTAGAGTAAAGATACTGGTGTAATATAAAACAGATAACCTATAGGCATCCATTAGAACCAAATCATACTAGCTTGACAGAAAGACATTTAATAATGCTCCAAAGTGCAGTTTTTTTGCATTAAGTATTCTTGACACGTTCAAAATAAATTCTCAAGTTTTCAAGCATGGTTGAATCTTTTACCAAATCTGTGTAACATATGGAATCAACCGAATAACTTACAATACATAATATAGCCTGAGAATGGCAGTCACGTAGTATAAATGTATTATGTCTAATATAAAAAGGTCTCTGGATACTGGGGTCCCTAAAACAGTCATAATTGTATAAATTGGGTATGAATGGAAAGCTGAGACTCTTTTCAGATTCAATGAGCAAAATTGCTTTCATGATTATTCTAGTCCCCATAGTAACCACTTCATTGTAGTGAGGCCATTTTTTTTAAACTTGACCTCTCTGTACACAATAAGCTGTTTACTTTACAGACACAAACTGGGGCTTAAATGCATTCAGTTTCAGACAAAAGGTTTTTAATACCAGCTCTACTGGTGCTGTTATTTTAGGTCTCGGTGTTTTTTGTGGGATTCTTGACATTATTCAAAAAATTATCAAGTTTTCAAGAATGGTTGAATCTTTTACCAAATCTGTATAACATTATGGAATCAACCCAATACCTTACAATACATAATATAGCCTGAGTATGGCAGTCAGATAGTTCGATCCTAATATTTTAATCTCTACTCAGAAATATCACATTTTGTTTGAATAAGCGACCAAAACACAGATACACAGATTTATGAACAGAAACTCTTGACAAACAGTGTTAAGCTGCACTTCAAATAATGTTCAGGTTCCCAAGTTATATGGGGCATATACTGTTGATTTGCTGCCTCCCAAAAAAGACAATTGTCGACGTATGGTAGGGAGGGAGGGGGGAGTGGGAGAGGTTAAAGAATAAAGAAAGATTGGATTAAAGTGACTCACCTGTTCCGTGGGGAGAACAGGAAGACAGACCATTCCTCTCTGGACTCACACCAGTCCGGTTTGTACGCTTCTAACATCTTCTCGACGCGGAAGCACAAGCTCTGCAAAACGCAAACATAACACCTCACATCATGGCAGAGCCAATATAGCGTAAACAATATAAATCCGAAAGCTAACACACAAAGACAAACAACATTGAGAGAAGACACTGCCCATTAAGACCCATTATTTAAATTATTTACGAAAGTGAAACACTTCTATAACAACAGCTCAGAGCATCTTCCAACATTATCATCTGTATAAATCTCCCCCCCGCTGCCTAAATAGTCCTTTCTAATTAACCTTGTTTCTCTCATACGCAGACTTGTTTACAAATAAAACAATAGGAGTCCCACGAGGCCCAGGTGATGGGGAGTGCAGGCTTTACACAAAGTGCTCGGAAATCCTACACAAGAGAGCGAGAGATTACCGTGTGTGTAAGATCTTGTACTTTAACACAAAAGCTAATGGTTCATTTATTGAGAAGCACAAGACTAGATTCTTGTCTTTGTTCTTTTTGGATGCCGTTACTCTACACACCATCTTAGGGATACTTATCTGCATCTGTGGACTTTGTGTATTATAGGAATGTTGTAAGATTGCATAACCTTGCTCCACTTACTCACCAGGCTTTTCCTAATACTATTAACATTTAATTCCCTGCCACACGCACTAATCGGGCAACTTACATATTCAATGTCATCATCCAGGTCCTCCCGGTCCTTGCTGCGTGTGTTAACCTGGGGGAAGACTTCCGACATCAGCTGGCTCTGGGGGTTCACCCCTCCAGCATGCTCAGTGTGGTGTCTGTGGGGGGGCTGCAGAAGCTGAGAAAGAGGGGTCTTCCCATTACAATCTTGGTGAACCCCTACTAAACCCCCCGGACTGTCGTGTCCACTGCCACCGCCTCCACTGATAACCATCCCCCCAGAGAAGCTCTTCTTCCTGTGTTGAGCGTGGAGCGTCAAGGGGGGCAGAGGGTGGTGTGGCGGCAGTGGAAGGTGCGGGGGTCCTGGCACCTGCAGCAGGTGGGGCAGCTCTAGCGAAAGGGCCCTGCGGTCCCTCCTGGGTACAAAGTGTCCCGGGAGCATAGGGTGAGGAAGGTGCAGGGAGTGAAGAGGAATAGGGGGAGGAGATATGAGAGACTCCTCCTCATCTTGGAGGACATGGTGGAGGTGGCGCCGCGGGGACGAGGAGGCACGAGGACCCCGGATACGAAGACTTCCTCCAACCACGCCGCCAAGGCCCCCCAGGCCGTAGCCATAGAAGGGCCGTGCAGAGGTGGTGGTGATGGCCGGACTAGCGGAGGGAGACGAGGAGGAGAAAGGCCGGCATCCTCCCAGGCTGTTCCAGCTGGAGCGACGGGCCCACAAGGCCTGAGGGTGGGGGGCACACGGGCGACCCCAGTTGTGGTAACTTCGACCTGAAAACTACAAAAAGAGAGGAAGTGCGGTTTCTTTCATGTCCTGTAATTATGAGAAAGACGAGAACAAGTCACAGAACTAGGAGGGGAGTCGGAAAGAGCAGGGCAGGTCAAACATCTAATGGGTTTTTATTTGGCCCATGCTCCATCCTTTCACCAAGTTTCATAAAAAAGGGCCAGTATTTTCAGTAATCACGCTGGAAAAAGATACACCAACCAAAACCTAAAAGATAAGCTCCATAGCAACAATTATATTGTAGCAGCAAATGATTCTCGTAAGAGACATAACCTATAATATTCCCTCAACTGTGTTTCAGCCAAATAAAAACACAATGGCAATCAAAAGTCCACTCACCAAAGCCCTCTGCTCCAAGTTGGCCCTACCAAGAGAATTAACACTGTTCTTCCTGGAGTCCAGAGCGAAAGTCAACCTCTCTCCCGGAAACAGACCATGGGACAGTGGGGACAAGTCAAGGTGCCCGTTAGGAGTCAGCGTACAGATCTTTGGGTCTGTGGGAAGGAAGGAGAGTGGAGTAAAGAAAGGGGAAAGATGGCACGCTCCATCACTTTACAACATAAATGTCCTCAAACGAAGTTATAGCCAGCACAGAGAGGCAGAGGAAGGTTTAATTTACACTGAATCACCTTGGAGGAGCCAGAGACGAGCTCGTAATGATGGAAGAGAGACATCTCTGCCAGCGGTTTGTCTGTTTTCAAACATATCTTTGTGTAATATAGCTCTCCAGGAACCATTGTCATTCCAAATGTATGTTTCTCTTTCTTCAGGTAAACGTAAAAAGGCACAGTGGGAGTCAGGGGAGCTTTGATCAGACATCAGCAGAGGCCTCTCTTATGTGCTTGCTAAATGCTACTCTAAGGAGCTTGATGCAGTGGCTTATTCTTTGTGGGTTCACTTTTGTTATTGCCTACAGGGAGACGAGGGGAGAGGAGTGGATGGAGACGTGGCATCAGGCATGCATTATTTAAAGCTTGTGCAGCTTACATTTCAGACAGGAGAAAAGATGGTTAGCAATATGTGTTGTGGAAATTGGAGGACAGGCTACGGTTTTAAAGCCCAGGGCACAATAAAGCAGCTGATAGCTTTTTCTGGATTTGCTGAATGCCTGGGGGATTGGTTACACCACGACCTTGAAGCACATATATGATGGTACCTCTTTTAGCAGTCAGATTGAAGTAGGCAAAGACGTGAAATAATAATTCTAGGAGCAGTTTTTTTTTAATGTTTGTAGTTCTGATATAAGGGAACTGAAATCTGATCTAATGCAACATGATCTCTTCTAACACAATCTAACAGAGGCGTGGTTAGTTTAAAGTTCACATTTAATTTAAAATAGGTCATATATTCTGTGTAGGTGAGTAGAAAAGAAATGCTGTAAAGCTCCTGGAGGCATTGAATACCTGAGAGATGAAGAGAGTCTTTCTGCTTATCATTCTCCTCAAAATTACAGGAAGACCTGTCGTCGTCCGAGAAAGAGCGGTTTGCATCACCCTGTATCGAGGAAAGTGGGATGAAATAAATTGGTGAGAGAGTTAAAGACATAGAAGAAGAAATGAAGAGGGATGGAGGGCACAGAAAGGAAGAGGAGACATGAGAGAAGGTTAGGGAGAAGTGAGTGGAAGAGATAAATCACAAGCTTGTTTAAATGACAACTTGCCCCTTTCTTATTACCAACTAATTGAAGAGTTATTTACTCCCAAGTCCACCTATTCTCACTCATCAAATCTAGCTCTAAAACACAAATGTATGAAGAGAAGTTGTACGGAGGCTCAGTATTCAACCAATCATATTCCTAATGTATTGTTGGATTGGAGGAAATCCATATATATATATCGTTAATCAAGTATTTATACAGTATAACGACAAATATATACTTGTTTTCTCAATATGCATGAAGTCATTCCTTAAATTGTGCAAAACAAAGAACATGTTTCAACCCAACAGTTGAATAACACAACATATGACATATTTGTACACATTCTGTAACGGCTTTTAGCAAAAGAACTATATAGGACATATTTGGCTCGCATTCCCTGTATCACATTGTTTTTGTTAAAGGGTAAAAGGCTTTGTTACAGCATCACCGGGCGGCAAGACTATTGCAAAGCTGTTTTGCACTCGTTTCATTTAAACGTTCAGCCCACATTGCAATGTTACAAAGCCGGTTAGAAAGCTAGCCACGTTTTCTTGTAATCACTGAAAACCACCCTTCAAGCTAATTTGGCTCAACTTGCATTTGTTTGAATAATGATTAATGTACCTTGACCCTTTTCAAATAACAAAAACAACAAATATGTCTCACCTCAGCCTGAAAACCCTCCACCAGGATGGCAACCAGTAAATTGAAGAGCACATAATTTCCAAAAGTCATCAGAGCTACGAAGTAGAGAGCAGCACAGGGCGAGGTGGATGCCATCCCATTGTAAAGCACCATGTTCCAGTCCTCCTGAGTCAGAATCTACAGGAAATAAACACCATTTTTTACAATATACCCACACACAAAAGTGCATGCGACCGCAGGTAAGCACACGTTCAACCAAATGTTATTAAGTTGCAGGACAAAGTCTTTGTGTGAGAACCCATTGGTACCTGGAAGACAGTGACGATGGCCCAGAGCAGGGAGTCAAAGTTCTTCCTGTCAGGCACGGTGTCTCCTGCCTCCGTCTTCAGACTGAACTTACAGCCAAAGATATGCATCCCCAGGATACTGCAACACAACAAGGAATCAACCAATTAAAAAGGAGTACAAGGGGACAGTATATACTTAAATGTAGTGGTTCCTGTGTTTATGACACCTGCAGACAATGTGAGGAATCACGCGTTACAGTTTGGTACATGTTACAGTTTGGTACATGTTACAGTTACAGTATCACATTAGGTTAGAGAGCTGATCCACAGCTATGGAGCATTCAAAACAAAAACGTTGTCTCATACACATGCTTTTAAATGAAATGAACCCACTACAATCTTCTTTCTCGGTTGCATTCAAAGCTCTTTTTCTTCAGTTCTCTCTCTGTTTTGCCCTCTGCTTATTTGTGTAGTTGCACCCATCTGTTTGCTGTCATCACAAGGCTGAGAAAGTCAAACAATGCATTCTCTAATTCATCGCTGCTTTCTTTATGCAAGGTCTTTAAAGTGTAGCTGAGTGGTACTTTACATTAACTGCTCACTAAAAGCCAGAGTGGCTGGACCGTAGGCAAAATGCCACGTGCTCAGGTTAGCTGGCTAAAGAGCTCTGATGCCATCTGCCTTGGCACACTTATTCTGGACTGCTGTGAAGGAAGCAGGTTAGCACTTATTCACACACACATATGAGATCACACACACTCACATATGAGATCACACACACTCTAGCACACACAAGCAGATTTAGGGTCATAGCATTATGATGCAGTTTAATATTTATTATGTTAAAATTAGTAAATTTACTGCAATTATGAAAATGATTAAAATAACAACAATTCTGTTAACACTATCTTCGTTATCAGTTAACATTGTGGATTGTGTGTGTGTGTGTGTGTGTGTGTGTGTGTGTGTGTGTGTGTGTGTGTGTGTGTGTGTGTGTGTGTGTGTGTGTGTGTGTGTGTATGTGTACTGATAAAAATAGGAGATATTAGAAGTGTTTAGGTATAGGATAATGTTTTGCATTTGCATCATATTATTCAATGAGGTAGAAAGTAAAAACATTTATTTTTAATTGTGACATTTAATCATTTTGAACAACTTCCCCTCACATTTAAGACTGAAAATTGATGTAATTTACCAAATGAATGTACAAAAAAAGCCTTGCTTATGATTACAGTCAAAACTAAAGATATTGACATCTATTTGAAATCAAAGCACTTTAGCCGTTTGTAGTTATGGTTTACCGTCACCTTTGCTCACTGGCTTATGGCCTATTAAAGAAAATGTTAAAGTTGAATGTAGTCAAATACACTGGTGACAGACAGAAAAACAAGTTAAGGTACTCATAACTTTCAAGGCAAGTAATCCTGGAGACGGAGACAGGTCAAAGAGAAAAGCATTGACAGAGCTGAGATAAGGTTTGGGTAAAAAACTAGCCGGAACTCCAATAATTAGAAGTTAATCCTATTATTTTACACAAACTGTGTTTAGGCCTATGGCTATGTCTGCCTGGACCACGCTCAGATATCGTATTTTGTCTCAATACGCTGATACGCTTTCACAGATTTAATTTTTGTGGCAACAAAACAAGCTATGTTAAACGGGCAAAGCAGTGCACAGTGAACACANCATTACTTCTACTATAACAACGTTGTAAAATAAAAACGTGCAATATATGTTGTTACGATGATTGCTACTACATTACGTTGTATATGTTCTACTTAGATGTATAATACTGCTACTTATCTTTTTCTACCTTGAACGTGTCCATTTTAAAAATTGAATTAACCTGTGCTTGGCTCTTTTTTTAATACAGTCTGTATCTGTATTGTCCCTGTTGCTTTGTATATTTCCCCTGTGTTGGTGAATAAAGGGATTTTATCACATCTAAGTAGAACATATACAACGTAATGTAGTAGCAATCATCGTAACAACATATATTGCACGTTTTTATTTTACAACGTTGTTATAGTAGAAGTAATGCAACAAAAAAGTAGTGGAGAGGTGGTGTGAGTTAAGAGACACACTCCTCCTTTAGTCTCTCATCTTCCACTCTAGTGATACCCACTGATGAAAAGCAAATGTGCTTGCTCAGCACCGGGAGCACAGATATCCTTACTGATGGGCAGGGGAGTAACTGTGCCTCATCGCACACACATAACCACAAACAAACAATTTCCCCTGAACACACCGCTCTACCAGCAGCAGCAGCAGCAGCAGCCCCCACCATGCTCTCATGTAAGCTCCAAGGAGAAAATAGAGATTATAATGATACATGTCGTAGGGCCATTAAACACACACTGCATACATAAAGGTACAGCGGATGGTAGCGGGCCGTGAAGCAAACCAGCGGGCTACAGATGCTCCCTCTCTGAGTAAATCTCTGTCGTTTTCGCTGTCAAATTACTACCTGGGATGTGGGATAGGTAGATCTGCCGTGGTTTAGTGAAAGGCCGGTGAGGCAGAGTGGTAATTAGTGATGCAGCGATGATAGGAAAGAGAAAATAATGAGGGAGAGTGTAAGAAAGCAGTGGGGAGAAAAAGGAGGCTCTGGTAAACTGTAATAAGAGGGAAGATGAGAGGATGGGAAGGGGCTTAAAGAACTGACCAGTTGTGATTTATTTCCTCTGGAGGGTAAATTACAGCACAAATTGAAAAAAAAGGGGGGGTGGTACAGCATCACGTGTGAGGGTAAATGGAGATTTGGAAGAGGAATATGTGTAGAAACGAGATGGAAAAGGAGTGGAAGCAGAAGGAGATGTCATGCAAAATAAGATAGGAAAGACCATCTTCAGCTCAGAGGGCTAACATTGTTATTTTAGGTCAGAGACTGGTTAAAATATGTGTTATTCCTCCAGATAGCACATGTCACTTTGATTCTACTTTGACCAAAGTCGAAAAATGCTAAAGACAGGAAAAAAAAGGCTGCTGTTGTTTTGCATAGAAGCAAAGCTATTAAGTGTATGATGATTTTACAAGTCGTCCTGCATACAAAGAGCCTCGTTAGCATGAGCTTGAGGCATGCCATTACCTTAAATGTACTTAACATATTTTTATATGGGCATCAATATTTATTCAGGCGTGTTTCGGCTAAGCTCACTGTATCGTAAGCTGACATTTACAACCTGACTTATTTTTCGCTTATTTTTTATTATTATTCAAGCAATGTAAATGTTAATAACTGTAATCTGTTGCAGGGCCGCTGTATTCATTTAAATATATTTTTAAGCTGGAGTGTGGCACTTTTAAATTTGAAAATACTTTTACATATAAATGGTTGTCCATTACATTGTAGCCCTTGTCAAATTAATCTACATAATATAACTAAGCGGAGGAAGCTCTCTGTATTTTGCACTAGCCTATACAACACAACCAAACTCACCTCAAACATATGTACTAACTGAGTTTGTTGCATTTCCATTGCCAGCAGTAGCCCTCTCCTAAAGTCCTTCCTCTAAACGCTGAGGTTTTTTATATGGTGCATCCGATTCAGAAACGTATCCTTCACAAGTTCCACACTCCAGATTTAATCTACTCCTGTTATTTTGTCCACTTCCTGTTTCTTCACAAAGTGTTATCCAAATAATGTGGTATTCCTTAATTAATTCAGCTGTTCCCAACCTAGTGGGCCGCGAAGGCATTGCAAGTGGGCCGCCAAATAATTCGCAAAACATTATGATTTGTGTGGGAACATTTCATTATTAAGATTTTTTTTTATTTGAACCTCCTTTCTCTTTCTTGATCCTCCTTAGCAACAGGCATTACAGTCCTTGACAACGGTCTGTACTACTGAATTGACATCAGAACTTTATNTTTGTCCACCTTCCCCCCCCCACAGCTGGGGGCGCCCATGCAACAGAGGGTGCCCTGGGCCAGCTCCAGCTCAATTTCTGCATCCATCTCCGCCTCCTCTTGGGCCTCCTTGTTGGAGTCGTCCAGGTGCTTCATCAGCACGGCCACCACCACATTGATGAGCACGAACTGGGCGGTGAGCACGAAGGAGACAAAGTACATGGGCGAGATAAACTGAAGGCTAGGATTGCAGGCATAGTCCACATCAGTGCCATGGTCTGGTGGGCACTCCCGCAATGTGTCCTGTAGTCCAAAAGGCAAAAGAGGAAGAAAAAGGGGTTAGGGTTAGGAGTGTTAAAGGAGACAGGTAAGCATTAAGGCAGCGGTTCCCAACCTTTTCCAAATCAGGGCCCACTTAAGAATCTAAAACAATGTTGCGGCCCACATTCAACCATAAACATTACGGAGGCTAAATAAAGTTCTGATGTCAATTCAGTAGTACAGACCGTTGTCAAGGACTGTAATGCCTGTTGCTAAGGAGGATCAAGAAAGAGAAAGGANGAAAGGAAAAATGAAAGTAAGAATTTTGGATGATCAAAAACAACTTAATTATATCTTTGCAACAAAGTACTTTAATAATTCAGAATTCCAGGTATTCCTCAATTAAGTTGTTTTTGATCATCCAAAATTCTTACTTTCATTTTTCCTTTCTTACTTTTTGAATAAAAATCATTTTTGTGTCGCTACCTTCTAAGGGACAACATTGGTCAAAAATGACCCGTATTGACCTGCAATGTTATTTCATGCATGTGGGTGAGTGTTTCTTTTTCTATATTTTTGGAAATCAATGCATATAATCATTTAATATTCCAAGTATTCATTGAATATCTTGTTTTTGATCACCACACATCATTATTTTTTTTTATTAATGTATGAATTAAAATAGTTTTTGTATTTCTACATTAGGTTTACATACATGGGTAAAACATGAGCCATGTATGTAATAAAATCACATAACTTGTGAATCAAAGGGTTAAAAAAAGAACCTTTTTTTATACCATTTTATACGCATCATACATATTTAGTTTGTTTGCGTTTAACTCGTGTCATTTCAGACCGAGCCACTCCAATTTGCCTGCCCTCCAATCAGTAGATCCTCCTCACCTGCTCATCATCTCCACTCACTTGTTCCCTATTCCCAAATCAGCTTCCTAGTATGTATACCAGTCAACTACCAATTGCTTGCTGCCACATTTTGTTTGTGCCTTAGCTTTTCAGCGGTTTTTAACGTAGCCTGCCAGGGCCTGTCTTCAACCTATAGACTCTGATTTAGCCTTTTTTGAAGCAATTTTTTCAGAAGTATCAATCTGTCAAAGTCAACAGGTTTCATCAATTGGAGTCCTGTAGTCTCTGAGACATAACAACATAACATAAAATAATAAAAAAAAAATAGGAATAGCACAGACCTCCACCAAGGTCAATGGTTTATCCACTTGTTCAGCAGATGGTCCCATTTATTGAGTTGGAAGGTCGTTTCTTCCAAGTGTTCATGAGCGTTATGTTGGAAACAATAAGGCATTGTGTTTTATTTAATTGCTCCGAGCGCTTAGCCCTCCAGTTATCCTCAGATTTACTCTACACCCTTTATCCTCTGGGGTCAATTTGACCCCATTAGTTTAAAACTCAAGACAATGATCATATTCCAAATGTTAACCAACATGTATGTCTCTGATGCTTTAGGTAAATATAAATATACATTTTTATTCATTGGGATAAACCCCTTGAGATGCACCATCTCGTTTTCAAGGGGGTCCCGACAATGGCAACAACTTACAGACATACATAAACAAAAAGACAAAATGCAAAACATGACACACAATCATGTACAGTCTGTTAATTACAATTCAAGCAATGCATACGATCATTACAATTTNCTAAAGTTAGCACTCTAAAATACCACTAAATATAAAAAAAGCTATAAGTGTATTATACCTCAAGACCTCATATTTTCCCTAGACACCCCCCTTCCAACCCCCATTACAACAAATAAATTTACCAATAAATCCATCAGTTGATTTCTGTGGATTTCCGTAGTCTCGTTGTATGTAACAACCAAATATATACACCCACAAACACACTTATCAAAATACATCACCACACAAACACAACACATTTCTCTCCACTCGCCACAACTATAACACAAACCTAATATTTATACAACACAACATTTCATTTAAGACTCCTATTGGTCCTCCCAATTTTACTTAGAGATCCCGTAGTTCTTTTAGGCCGCTACCCAGCACGATTAAAGCGCATACAAAATAATTACATATACAAAAATTTATATTACAAGGACCAAGGTCACAGTCTACCTGTTACGTTCTTCGCAAAGACACATAAAAGAATAATGTGTCTGTAAACTCGTAATTAAGGTCGTACCCTTCCCTTTCGATTTGTTAACTTGTACTAAACCTACAAAAAACTTCCAATAATGTTTGTGGAAATTACACTGTAATACTACTTTTTCACGACCGGTGAAATTCGCAGGCCTCTTTGGTATCCGACCATATGTAGACCCTGTAATCTTTTCTTTTGTTAACTTTAATCTTTAGGGTAATTCTGAACATGTGTGTGTGTGTGTGTGTACTGACTGTAATGTTGAATGTTGTTAAAGGACCAATAACTATAGCAGAGGCTAGTTTTGTTTTACAATGATACATTTGCATGTAATAGTCACCTCAATATCATCCTACACAATCAACACAAATATGTGTAAAATGTTGAAATGTTTACATGTTTTACACTACTAAAACAGCCTGGGGTCAAATCGACCCCAAGGAACACCGATGCGTACAAGGTGCGTACAGGACATTTAAAAAAGATCTTCATGTTTATTTTATGTTTACCCCTTAGTCCTCACTAAATTAGGAGACGTCATGAAATACTAAGCAAACAAAATAATGTGAACCATTTTTTTCGATACGTTAAACATTGAATGGGGTCAAATTGACTCCAAGGATAACAGGAGGGTTAAATGAAAATAAACCAATATGAAGGTCCTATAATTCCATTAGAGTTACTTTAATATGTTTAATGTAGACCCAGTGTGCGGTGGTATTATGTAGAATGATATGAGTTTTGTTCAGACGCAGTATCAGCTGGATATTATGTTCCGCTCCTCTGGCTGTCAGTTAGCTTCTCTTACACGGTATCAATGCCTTGCATCATGCAGAGAAAATTACATATTTGATTCAAAAACTGGAAGAATACAAAAGAGGTCAACAATATGGCAGTAATGTCTGAGTCGTGCCTGGATGTGGCTGACGGGTGAGAGAGAGAAGACTTTTTTTCTTTTTGTGCAAATGACTGGCGACGACTTGCAGTGATTACACTCAGGCGTTTTATCAATCTCTTTGCAATATTCTTTTTCTACTTTTCTTTCTTTTCTTTTGCACATCTTTTGAGGAAGGAAAGGGTCTAAGGAAGGTTAAACATCTACACAAAGAGAGGAGATACAAAGAAAAGAGAGATAAAAAGGAAAGAGACACCAAGCGGCGCCTTATTTGCAACGTTGAACAAGAGCAACATATTAAGAAATCTATTCATATAAAAGTAAAAGGCCTGAAATTAAAATTATTTTCTAAAAGGAAAACAAGCTTCTTAAGCGATATTAAGCAGATGAAAGTACGTTTTTGTTTGTGTTTCACTATAGTTATAGCAACTTCAATCTAATGTTGATCAATCTTCTATTCATTTAAGCTTCATCAACCTTTCAGTACTCTCATGACACTTTCTGCACATGCAGACGTTACATTTTTGAAATCATCCTTTCATTTCTACTCACAGTCTGACAGCAGAGGCACAAGCTTCCATTATGAAATAGCTAAAGATAGTCTGAGATATCCACGCAGGGACACACATAAAGATGACTCACCGGCTGCTGTGAAGAGTCTCACCTGTGTAGAGCTAAAGTTGGCTGCATGGAGTCATTTTTAGCTCAGCGTGACAAACGAACGTAATGCAGACCATGGAGAAAACACTGGCAGCACCCTCCCCCTCTCCCTATCTCTCTCTCTGTCTCCCCCGCTCATCCTCTGTCTCTCGAGTGATGCAATAAGGGGCCTCGCAGACCGATGCAATTTATTTAGAGCACAGGTCCTGGGGTTGGAGAGTGTGTGTGTGTGTGTGTGTGTGTGTGTGTGTGTGTGTGTGTGTCTGTCTGTCTGTCTGTCTGTCTGTCTGTCTGTCTGTCTGTCTGTCTGTCTGTCTGTCTGTCTGTCTGTCTGTCTGTCTGTCTGTGTGTCTGTCTGTGTGTGTGTGTGTGTGTGTGTGTGTGTGTGTGTGTGTGTGTGTGTGTGTGTGTCTGTCTGTCTGTCTGTCTGTCTGTCTGTCTGTCTGTCTGTCTGTCTGTCTGTCTGTCTGTCTGTCTGTCTGTCTGTCTGTCTGTCTGTCTGTCTGTCTGTCTGTGTGTCTGTCTGTCTGTCTGTCTGTCTGTCTGTGTGTGTGTGTGTGGTGGAGAACTTGCGAGGAATTTGACAGAAACCCAAAAATGTTTAAATATGCTGTGCCGCTATTATATTATTTAAATCTCAACATACTGTCCAAATATTACGAGCAGCATCTCCAGCTGGAATGCGTTTTTTTTAAAATATATATATATCAACTATTTTTCATATGTATCACTCAGCAGTGTGTCCCTCCCTTCATGTGCACCTCAGAAAGGTACAGCAATTATTTTGTTGACCGCAGTGAAAATATTTTTGAAAGATTTAGAAGGGAGTGCTGGGTATTTTGATAGATATAAACATGTTGTTGTGCATTTTGGAAAAAATGATTACATCTGGAGAAGTTAACAACACTCTGGAAATATTGGAAATGCAGCCACCCTTGGATTCAAATTCTAAAAATTGTTTAATACTTGAATTTTGCAACTATTCAGAAATGACAGATATGCAGAATGTAATTGTCAATGCGATGAACGAATCTTCAAAGTGTGTAACTCTTTGGTCCAGCCCATGCTGCAACTAGAACATTCTATAATATGCCATCATACACTCTGAAAAAGTCATTTTCCATCGACTCTATGGTGAAACAGTAGTAATATATTGCACAGGGACTACAGGCGACACTGTAGGAAGTCGACACAGAGAGAGTGAGAGAGATAATAGCTGAGCCAGTGACAGTCAGATAGACGCAGTAATTAATTTCAGCTCTCTCCTCTCTCTCTCTCTCAACTCCCATTCCCTGTAGACGGGCCCATTGTTGTCCACTAATACAGTTATTAATGGAGGCCACCACAGTCAATCAAAAAATTTGTTTTTATATCAAGCTCCCCACCTTCACAGAATGTATGTATGTGTGTGTGTGAGAAAGAAATGCTCTTTTAATTTAAACACATGTATTTAAGAGCTGGATATGGCAGCGTCAGCCGTACTGCCAGTTTGTCTTTTAATAAATTGTGGCACTGCAACACTGTTTCATTAACCAGCACGGTGTAGGTATATTTATATATAGCTGGGAGTACAGTTACTTATCTCTTGGATTTGTAGCCCCCTCAAAACACAAGCCATGAGTGATTGTAATACAACAGCATAAGTCAAAAATGTGTGTTTGCATAAGATATCTAAGTATAGTCCTGTAATCGGTGTTGCAGAAATGTGTTATGAAAATAGGCATGTGTGGGGATTGAAGAGGAGTGACCTTGTTTCACAGTATCTTTTGGGATATATCTGCTGATGTAATAAAGTTATTCTGGCTGTTGTGAATGCGCCACAGGCACAATGCAAATAATACATTGTAAAATACCATGCCTGGCCAAGAAACACAGAAATCACTCCTAAAAGTATATTCCTTTTGCTGTCAGTAGTTCTTTTTGTGCCAGATTGGTTTCTGAGAAAAAAACAATCTGGCAGATGAGATTCAAGCAAGGAGGTATCATTTAAGTCACAGTAAAAACCCTGACGGATTCAGTCTAAATTGCTTTAAACCTAATAAAACCCAGAGCACAAAGCAAATGCTTAAATCTTAAATTGTTTCAATAAGGTATTGAACAGCCTAATTGAGGTGATATATCAAATGTAATTGCACCACTTGCAGTGCTGAAGGCTTTAATAGTAAAATGATGTGTTACTGGCTAATGAGGGTTTGAATTCATATTATTGAGAATTATTGAGTCTTTTTCAAAAGAGAGCAGTGTTTAGCCCTTAAGCCCGACAGAGGGATTTGTTGTATTTGTACTTGATCTCCGACACAGAGAAAACATTTGAGAAGGTTTCTTTTTCTTTTTTGGGGGAATCTTTGAAATTGTTCAATGTGAAATTGTGTGGGGGTGTATATGCATGTGTGACTGTGTGCATTTGTCTGTGAGTTCATAAAGTGTAACAGCATACCTGCGTGTGCACACTGACATAATTCTAACTCTTACGATGTTTATGCATTTCCCTGCGTGTTTTTTGTCCTCGCATGTCCGCATGTGCACCTGTTGGCACCTGCGTGCAATACTGGTCTGCTGGCCTGCGTCCCGTGTGTATGTGTCCGTGTGTATGTCTGTGTGTGGGTGTGTGTGTATGTGTTCCAGGAGAGCCAATGGCTGGACAGCGTATCTCTCTTGATCAAGGATTCACTGGAGGGGGAGATGCTGATGATCGACAACCTCTCCGGTTCTGTCTTCCACCATTATTCTTCTCCTCCACCCATCTGCAGAGATTGCAAGGGCCACCCACAAGAGGTACCACCATGACCTGAATGAAAACACCCATATAATGCGACACACACACACACACACACACACACACACACACACACACACACACACACACACACACACACACACACACACACCTGTTGAGGCCAGTAACCCCAGATATTAAATCCTCCTTGTGGTTTGAAGTTACAAAGAAAAACTGAACCACAAGCATCCATCTTTCTTTCCAAACAGTTGGCTGACACGACTATCCACAGTGCTATAAATAGACACACATTTTAACATGATAATTTTTAGTGACAGTTTCTCCCCACTGAGTTTTAGTGGACCAACCTGGAGGCCAATGTTGATCAAACATGTCAGTGACTGTAAGTGGCTTTGCTGCATTTAAATATACTTCCACCTTAGAATATGAAACCTTTTAATAATAAAAAAAAAACCTGTGTTGGGATAGGGCCATTTTAGCAACCATGTGGCTAGATGCTTTTAACAATGTCATTTAAAAAATGCACCCAGGAACATAGTTTTTCGAGCAAAAGAATGTTCCTTGACAGCTGTGTTCAGTTAGAGAAAGAGGGCAGCACTTTCAGTCGTCCACAAAGCAGCCAGACTGAGATATCAACTGATTGCAGAGTACGCACCGTCTATTGGAAAACGACATGGTTAAGTTGCCGTGTTCAGTCAGGACATCTTACCAATGGCTACGCTCATAATTCAAAATATTCCAGGATATTTAAGTCTCGTTTTATTTGAATGTTCAGTGGTGGGAAAGAACCAGGTCAGCTTTGAAGCTCCGAAATACATTAGTGCTGTCACAGATGTGAGGAGCCCAAATCAGATTCTTGCTGTCAAATACATTTAAATTTAAAAATGTTCTGGACACAGATTTGTAGATGGAGCAATCATAGAAAATTTTGAAAAACTTGATTTTCAAAATGCTTTTACCCCTTTGCCTGAAAGTGGGACTGAATATGGATCATTCTAAGAGGTTTTGGTCCATTAAGCCTGATTCTGTCTTCTGAGATGTTTGGTAAACATGACCCCAGGTGTTGGATGAAAATAAAGTAGACACAAATGTCAAAATATACAATAGACGCCAGTAAGTACACATACATGCACACACAGGGTTTGTTGTGCAAAACCAATTTCTGCCTGAACCTGAATACACAAACTGACTCACATACAAGACAAACACTTTTTGGCACAAACACAACCATGATGTTTTGTTGCAGATTACATGCATGCAGGGACACTCTCAGAAACATGCATTTGCTTGTACTTTCACTAACATACTCACAAAGGGCTTCATTCATTACACAATGCAGATTGTATGAAAAGTGAATTAACTGTAAAGGGCATCAACTACTGTATGTGTTATTATTTCACAGTATAACTCAGTATAAATGCATCATTATTGTGTATCAACTCTCCATATGTGCAGAAATGTGGATTAATGAGGCCCGTTGCATGCTAACACACATGCAGCCATCCCTGATTTGCATGCATGCACGCACTAACACTCAACTCCACTCGTGCTTGTATTTTGGGGTATTTTGTAAGCAGGAAAAGCTGTATAAACCACACTGTTGAACTTACTATCCGGTGCCAGTGTTGTCCATCATAATGACAAAGTGCAGCGGGTCAGCTCAGAAGGAGCAATAACTGGGCTCTACCCCTCCTCACCTGTCAGACTGCTTTCTGCCTGTCTGCAGATGCTGTCAAACTATCAATCTGTCCTACCTCTTTCACGCTTCCTCTTTCCATGTGTCCCTTTGCCCCTCTGGCTTTCCCCTTTGTTTATCTCTGATTTGCTGTATCTGATCCTGTACTGTTATCCTATAATTTCCCATGAACTTAACCATCAAACGAGCATGCTGTTCATTTATGTGTGGGAGATAGATCCTGTGTGGGTGTGTGTCATTTTTTAGACAGATGTTCTTTCACTTCTGTGTTATGTACAATGTTTTTTGTGATTAAGCGGACAGGCAGACACAGCAGGACACCTGGGTGCAAAGTGTGCGTCAGGGGGCATATTCATAAAGTAGCTGCCTAATTAAGAGAGACTGACTGACTGATCTTAGTGTTCAGCGAACAGTTCAATGGATTACTGAAGGCTGTTTCCATTTGTTCAGCAGCTATCATACATTAGCAGTAAACACCATCATTTCTCTGAGTGCAGTCATGGAAGGCGGCATCAGATTTTAGGAAGCTGTTTTAAAGTTCAGAAAACTACCTGAACAGGCACAGGGCTAAAACATATGTATTACATCAGCAGAGCCTGCATTGGTCAGGCAAAAGATATCCCATAATGAGAGAACTGGGGTGCACAGTCGTATTGGCAGGTTAAAGAAATTAGAAGAAATGATTTGCAGAATATACTGTGTAGATGTTCTGTATTGTGTAACATACATGTATATTACTTAAAAGCAACTATGATACAAACATTGGAATACATATTACCAAATCATTGAAATCAGCTATGTTCAGCAGAGTGGTCTTTAGGTCGACCTGAAAGTTATAGACAGCAAACAGGACGATTTGGAGCTGTGCTTGTTTTTGCTCCTGTATGTTGTAGAAAATTATAATTTGACTGCTGGTGTAATTTGTTTAACATAAATGCTTATCGTGTCCACACTAGCATGCGTCAGTCACTGTGGCCCTCAGGCCCTGAGATATCAGTCAAGCTTATTATTTTTGCCAACTCACTCTATCTTCTAGTATCATTGCCTCCCAGTGGCATTGATGAAAAAGAAAACAATGCTTTTCCTTTTTCACTGTCAGGCTGCAATGGACATTTTCAATCGGGTCTTGCCTGAGTCCCATAGTGAAGCCTTTAATATCTCTGCAGTGACCCTGGAAGCAACTCCCCCTGTATTCATCTTGCCTTTTTCATTGTCCCCAGAGGCACAGTCAAGAACACGAGAAGTAGTTTCCATTAACTTCCAAAATAAATGTACCAACAAATGATTCCCATGGACCTTTTTCAAGCCATTTACAAGCCAACAGTAAATCCGCAGATAAGGCACTGCTAAAGTAGAGAGAGGGCCGGTGTACAGAAATAAAACAGAAAAAGTGCTCCTTTAAATTAATGAGTTGCATTACCTCTGCTTTGCTTCCTTGTCTCATCCCACCTCTCTCTCTTTCTCTATCTCTTTCTTTCCTTCCCCCCCTTTGGGCAATGGTAATGTACTGGTGCATATCAGCCATGAATCGTTCTCTATGAACCTCCTTTTCTTTCTCTCCTACGGGTACGTGTTAATTTATCGCTAACAGGCCTCACTCCATTGGATTTCACTGGGCCCGTTTTAAGTACCCTTCTTAATGCTTCTCTCTGGCTATTTATTGCTCCGTCTCTTTAAAGAAAGCACTGCTTGAGCTCACCATAGCACCCCCAGAACCCTGAATTCCACTCCAGCTCACTGTTTCCAGTATATTTTGAAATGTGTGAACTTAAAGCGCTGTAAGGGGAAGGACAGGGGAAAAGCTCACAGAAGGCTTACGTCGCACGATTTTCAAACCCACTTGCCAAATGATCTGCCTGCTGAGCAAACCTAGCTGGAGATGATGTTGAAGACATGAGAGGGAGAGAGAAAGTAGTAACAGTTTGAGTAATTGTTGTCACTTCCTAATTATTTGGGTTTTTTCGTAAAGGTTGCTGTACATGTGTGAGAGTATTTCAAGGATTATGAAACGCCATTACAAACAGCAAACTCATGTCAATGTACACCTGTGTTTGAAAACATACTCAGTCGGCTGTAGGGGTAGAATTATGAGGGTCTGGTGCAGCTACAACTTCACTCTTGATGGCCAGAAAGACATCTCTTCACTCTCACTTACATGTACATGCACACACACACCTGCTGTGTACGCACTGCTTGGATATCTGCCTCTCGCCGCTCATTCAGCCTCTCTCTCTTCACAAATGTTGCTCAATGAATGATGACAAAGCAATGTTGTTATTCTTTTTTTAAATCTCTCACCTTGCTCTCTTTACAAACAGGTGCCTCGGCATTTTGGCCACTTTGAATTGTCAACATCTGGTGAAGCATATGGAAACTTGGCGGAGGTTTTACCTATTTACCTGTCTGTGTAGCTCATATGGGCCTATAGGAGTATCTCTATGTAAACCATAAATGAATAATGAGAGACATCTTCAAAACAGTGTTGCTGATCCTTTAGAATTGTAATATCTATGTATACAAAGATATAATACACTGAGGTCAGTCATGGTTGTTGTGAACAATAGAATAAATCATGCATTATATTTAGCACTGATAAGACAATGCGCTGTTAATTCCAGGAAGTCTCAAATGTTTGCTGCTCCTATTTCCCCTCCCTTCCCGTCTTAAGGCATGAATAACAGAGGTAACTTTTTGCAGCAGATCAGGATGGCAGAGATTGAGCAGGCATCCCTGAGGTCAGAGCAAATGTCAGACAAGTCCTCGTCCCCCGCCCTGCCAGATGACCTCAGCCTGGACGAACACACCTCCTATCAGCTGCTGCCGCAAGAATGCAAGGTGCGTGTGAGCAGAGGGGGGGGGGATTTTTCCAGACGGCCATAACTGCCTTAGATAACAGAAGTGAGAGTAACACATCAGACATTTTAATTGAAACATAAAAACACATTGTACTCATACGCCTTGTGATTTATTAACATAATAATATGTTTTATTGATCATTTTGCTTTGTGGCGATTGCGGGACGGATTCAATTGGCCCTTGGGCCTTTTGTAGCATATGTGTGCCTCAGGCTTTAAAAAGTACTGAGTGCTAATAAATATATACGCATATCCCCAGGACTCATTAACGAATGAAAAAAAGACATTGCGAGGTCATTAAAATGTTGTTTTTAATACGCTACAAAGTTAGATCCCATTTTTTTTAAAGTGGTAATAATGTGCATTTTGCAAAGATTTAGTTTTATTGCCTTGCCAAGTAGTTGCTATTCAGGCTGCTTGGATAGAAATCCTGCTATAATGATGTTCATTCCAGTAACACCTCGCAGGGAGTGATTAGTGACTATGTGACCTATAGAGCCAGGGACTGAACATCTATTAATGTCAGCACCTGGTTTATTTAGTTGGGCTGCATACCCGCTTGTCAGATCTTCTCAGAAAGTCTTTTTGTGTTAAAAAATAAAGTTTTAGATCAAGAAAAAGCTGCAGTAACCACTCTCATAACAATGCATCCTCATTTCACTTATGCCCACTAGTTTGTACTTGACATGGTACTTTGTCCTTATGCTCCCAAAGGGTGAACACAAACAATAGTATTTTCTATCCGATCATTTGTTATATTTAATCAAGGAAGCACAAAACAAATGACCATAATAAAACCTTTGGCTAGCTATGCTGTAGGCGCTCCTGTGAATTACAGTCCACACCTTTGGTTCCAGAGGCCCCTTTATCTCTGTCTCTCTGTGTGTCAGTGGTTACTATCTTGTCTTTGAAGAATCCACAGTCTCGGCTCATGAATAAAACTAGGCTCTCCCTAGTGCCTGTCCTGGGTGGCTCTCTTGCCTCCATCTCTTACACCCACTCTCCCCATTTCCACTTTATCGTGCATGCTTCTACTCTCCCAGCGTTGCCCCTCTGGTAATTGCACACCTCTATCTCTTTTCCTTATCGTCCGTCCTTCCTAGATATCCTCCACTGTAATGGGGTAATGCTGCTTGGTTGAGGATATCCAGATAAGCCTGCAATCGCCAAGCATGGCTGTGAACCAATGCTCATTAGAGAAAGGGGGATATGAAAATAGATAAGAGGGAAAGGCAGAAGGTGAGGCAGGATCTGAGGTTAGGGATTTTATATGTCAAACATTGTTTGGTAAAAAAGATTGTGTGTGCAAAGCCTGTTTGAGGTGTGTTTGGGTGTGGGTGGCTGTCTACTTGAAAGGGGGCTGTTCAGTGGCTAGGACTGAACAACTCCGAGATACAATACACTAGTGGGAGCACAAAAGAGTACCCACACACACACTCCTGTGCACGAACACGCACAAATGATTCTGCAGTCCCTTCATGATGGTAATTAAAACGTACGAGGTAAGCTTACAAATCTGAACTGCCCTAATCTACCTCCTGCTTCCACTTCCAGCTGTTGCAGCCATCACACACAGGCACATTTATATCCAAACATTTATTGTCACGATATTTAAAATTAACATGTCAATTACAGGCTCTTTCAGCTCATAATCAGTCCTCCCCGCTTCCCTAGCACTTACAGGAAACACCAGAGGGGTGATGTGAATAAGAGGCCATGTTTGATATCGGCAAGATGCCAAAGGGTCTTCTTTCTTCTATTCCACATTTTCTATCAGGCTTCTTCGAGCAATTATCACAAACATGATGCTAATCCTTAACTTGTCTTGTCCTATTGCAGAAGGAATAAGAGCTAAAGGCTAATACAAGCTATGCTAATGACTATAAGCCCAAGCATGTCTATGTGTTTTCCCCTACATCTCCAATGTGTTTTTTTTTATAAATTGAGTCAAAGTCCACACCTACTGGATTAACCTCTCCTGTAGATGAATTAGAAAGTACGTTCTTTAATGTCTGCTCATCTGTTTTCTTCCAGGGAAGGTGCAGCAGTGACTCCCGTAGCTCTGATGAGGCTGGAGGGGGGGGGAGTCATGCAGGAGGCCCCCCCACCCAGACGGTGGTGCAGAGCCTGGGCCAGCCCTGCAGGCCCCTCATCGCTGGGATTGATGTGGAGACTGCAATACAGGAGATGCAAACACAACGACCACACACATGCACTCCTCACTGTAGCCCTGGTGAGTAAAACCAGATATTAATAAATATACATAAACATATTTCAATATTTTTACTCTACTACCAAGCTGATTTTCAAAGGAATCTATTAATGATAAATGGGTTGAAATATGCTTTTGTACCAGCAAATAAAATCCATTTCTATTAAATGTCTTACTTGGTTTTTGTGCAGCTTACAATATGTTCCAATTTCGGTGGTGAGTGACATTTGGAAGACATATTTTTAGCAAACATTTTCTCTGGTGAATATTAAAGAAAAACACAAAATAGTTTTTTAGGAGGTGGTGGAGCTGGCACAAGGTTGTATACCAAATAGAATCACAAATGATAGATACCCACTTCTCATTAAACCCAACTAGGTGGCGTTTCCAGAAGCAGCAACCAGGAAAGAAACGGAGAAGGTGGAGGAGGAGCGAGTGGCGTGTCTCCTCTCTTTCATCTGCCTGCAGAGTTCTTCCACCCAGCAGTAGCAGCCTCCTGGGCCTCACTCCGCTCCCCAGGGGCCCACAGCAAGATGCTCTGCACACAGGTAAGACGAGAGGGGCGGCATACACAATCAAACAGGTTAGAAAACACTAAAGAGGATGAAGATAGTTGTGAGGTGTTATCGACGTAGAGGCTTGAGTCATTACAGTAGATTGCTGTTAATGGTGAAGCAAAAACTAAAAGATGCCGGAGGAGAAATGACCGGACAACAGATGATGCTTTATCCAATATTATGATGAAAACTGCATGGTTGAAGAATCAGTTTATAACTATTATTGTGTGCTCTGTTAAAATAATATGTATTACTGATTAAACATTTGTGCTTAACTTTATTTTGTCTCCTTTCCACTTCCTGTCTTCAGTACCCATCCCACAGTGACTCGTCCCTTGCTACAGGCAGCTCTGAGGGCAGCCTCCAGACCACCCTGGAAGAGGGCCTGAGCTTCAGCATCTCCCCACCACAGAACTTGGAGTTGTCTTTGCCGACACCTCCCTTAACACTCGTGTGCCCCCTCCCGCTGCCTGAAGACAGCACCGCCATCTCCTCCCCGGTCCAGACCCTGAGACCGCGGCCCACCCCCTCGTCGGCCCTCACCCTCCTGGCCACCAAGGGCCACCAGCGGAGCCAGAGCAGCGGCCGAGGGAGCACCAGCCCGGGCTACACCCGGGACGACTCCATCGACCCTTCAGACGAGGACCTGGGCATAGGTATTGGGTCTTCCATTGGGGGCTGTGGCTCCAGCCAAGCGGGCAACAGTGAACATTTGTCAGAGACGCTGAGCAGCTTGTCTCTCACATCCCTGCTGTCCCCCAGCTCCCTGGTGTACCCGGGCGTAGCAGTGAAGAAGTGCAACAGCACAGGCAGCCTGGACCAAGGGGGGATGCTGCTGTCGTCCCGGGGCAGGGAGGGCCGCCGGGAGATTCTGGGACTGGAGCTTATTGACCCCCAAGGCTTTTTGGCCAACCCTTGGACGGGGGTATTGGTGGATACAAGAGGAGAAGGAAGAGGGGAAATAGTAGATGGTCAGCAAGGGTTCAAAGTGAAGAGCTCAAGCCAAACAACAGTAGGGCCTTGTCGGGAAAACAGATGAAACCTACTGTTCACTCTCTCTTTGTCTCTCCATTCCTTGGATCTAAACCCATAGCTGTCCCTCTCAATCTCTCTGCTTCCATCAGTGAGAGAGAGGCTTGATGACACACGATGTCCCGTATTCCAAAACCAAACCCTCATCTTGCCCCCTCAACCCCTTTCTATACATTTGTGACAAGCCCAAGTCCTATTTTGTGCTACCTAGAGTACTGGTCTTGGTTAGGCGACGAAGGGGCCTGGCGAAGTAAAGGCCCAAGGGCTTAACTTGAAGGGCTGGACATGGAAGGTTCTGCTCACATTGGAAGACCAGGAGACCCATTTGTATCAGGGAGTCAGTAAAAGCAGAGACAAAAGAGCTTTAACTCAAAGACACGAGAGAGTCTTGTTGTTGCTCAACTGTAATTTTATTTTCCTGGTGTCAGCTGAGGTCGAAAATGCAAAAATAGAAGCACCCAAACTGAAAATAGCTCTCCATGCCAACACAGACTGTTTGGGATTGTTTATGTTTCAGAGGCAGTGCCGCAAGTAAGTGGGAGGAGGCTCGGAAGTGGCAGAATATTTGAAGGCGGAAGGAAGGCTGGCAAAGGAGAAGGCAGGTCATTTGTTTGGCTGGGAACGCAGAAAGCGGATCTAATGTCCATCTGTTCTGGCAGACGGAAACAACAGGTCCTACTCTCTCTGGACCTTCTGCTGAGTTCAGAGTAAAAATGCAAGGTAGAGGATAGTTCAAGAGTGAGTGCTCATAGCGTGAGTGAGAGCACTGCCTCAGGTATCCAAGGCATGAATTAGATTACTCTCAACACTTCACCATACCTCTGTATTTTTGAAACAGGAGATGGGCATCGACTGATCAAAGCTTTGTGCCTCTGTTAACTCAAGTGGCAGCGGAAAATGAAAATAAATTGACAGATTGCGGAGGTATGACCGTGCATGGAGCTATTTGTGAAATTGGTTATTTTTTTCTCTCTATCTCCAGCATATCACACTCACTCAAACATGAAGAAATGAGTCTGAATGAGAGCCAGGTTGTGTCAGAAGAAACAATAACGTGTGCATGGGGCAGCCTTTTGACAATAAAGTGAGTCTTGAAGCACACTCCTTTTTCACTTCCTCTCACCATGCTTAAGGATTTGAGACGAATGGACAAACCCACAAGAGTTGCGAGGGACGTAGACTGCATGAGGGAATTGCATTTAACCAAGATTTTTACCTATATACAGAAGTGTATCAAGATGTCAGTGTTGGGTGATAACCATGTGATTTCTATTCCACTATTTTTGTAGAAAAAGAGAATAGGCAAGTGTTGCCGTTACTTAATCCCTATTTCATTTAACCCATACGATCTCTTTAACTTGTCGTCTAGGACTTTTTGTCTGCCAGTGGCTTCCAGTTTTATAACATTTTTTTAAAGTGTGGACGGTGTATAAAACAACGAAGCAAAAAATGTCAAATGAACTTTGTGCGCTGAAGAGATTGTTCCCTCCAGCACATTTCTCTTTGGGGACACTGGTTCCTCGTGGATTTTTTTTTTTTTTTCAGACGTTGGAGTCCCAGGGGACAACCAGAGACGCGAACAGCCATATTCACTCAGCACATGAGGATCGTTCTAGCTCACAGACATTTCCTTGCTGCACACAGGGAACTTTGTTTGCTTTTAGCCTCTTATGCTAAAAAAAAAAAAAAAAAAAGAAACCTTGAATAGCGGGAACCATCTCTAAGAAAGCTTTAATTTGAGAGTTACTCCACAACATATCAATTATGGACACATTAGTGTTCTTTAAGCATGGTTCTGGGATTGCAATACAGTATGCTTTTTCTTGAAATGACCCTGATGCACTCATCTTCTCTTCCCCATCTCCTCACACATACAGTATGTTGTAGCAACCCTTACACACACCATGTGTTTGTTATCAAAAACTGACACTGTAATAATGAACAAAACATTGCATCTTTTAATGCAAGCTTATTTTGCTTCTCGCTCCATCCCAAAAGGACATGCTCATATTTTAGCCTGATATTTAGAGGTAGACTGTTGTATCCCCAGTGTTTTGATCATTACCTTACTTTTTTACATTTCTCAAAAAAGAATTAGGTGATGTGAGAAAATCTGAGGGATTGACCTTTTGTACCATGCAAAATCACTTTGATGACTATGTTTTATCACATGGTGTTAGGTATTAATGGGTGACAGTAAAGACAGTTGTGTGTGTGTGTGTGTGTGTGTGTGTGTGTGTGTGTGTGTGTGTGTGTGTGTGTGTGTGTGTGTGTGTGTGTGTGTGTGTGTGTGTGTGTGTTTATGACTTCAGGTGAAGAGTTGCCTTTTCCTGAAGTCTCCCGTTTGTCCGTGAGAATCCCTGAGATTAAAGTTTTGCTGAGGGAAAAACGCGAAGCAACCAAGGGCTGTTTTAGCTTCAAATATATATCCTAACAAATCCTTATGTCATATGGCATCAAAGGTTAAAGCCTGATTACGCAGCAATAAATGTTCTATGTGTGTGCCCTGAGTAAATGATGTCAATGTGATTTTTATCTCCTCAGAACACAACAGTATTCATTACTGTCTGTTTTTGCATCTACTACTGAAACAACAACCAATCAGATAGCACCTCTGCCCTCTCGAAGACCAATCAGTAGTGAAATGGGCTGCAATTGGACGACATGAACAATTGAGGTTATTGAACTCAGGTCGGGGGGTAAAAACCACTGGTACATTTTTAAAGATAGCTGTAAAGGTGTGCTCAGACTGAAATCGGAGAAAATGTTCAACTCGCTTTAGTCGCACAAATTTTACTGCTGGAGTGTTTAACCTCGCCTAACAGCCAATGCACCCAGAGTCCAGATGTTAGCTGAAACTACCTAACAGTGTGTGTGAGCAGAGTGTGCCTTTGTACAGTAGGTGTGTGCTACAGCTCTGAATCGGACAGATTTGGAAACTTGATCTCAAGCTGTTTCTGTCATTTCCTCCGGACTCTCTTTGTCTCTGTATGTTCATAAAGTGGAGTACAATAGCTCGGGTTTAAGCACACACTTTCTGCAGCATTTTCAACCTGTGTGGACGTGTTTTTGCTTCAGTTCACGCTGCCTTGAGTAAACTACCTTGTCCATTGAATTTGTATGCAATCACGCCGCCTCTGAAATTTGCTCCGCCTTCAGTCTGAACACACCTTAAGAGTGTACAATTCACATGTGTACATATCTTTGTATTTTGATCTGCATGTGTGCATTGCTGCCAGTGACCCTGATTATATCATTAGTATGCATTTCATAAAATTGTACAAAGTTAAAGGGAATGCCCTGGTGTTTTTTGACTGCTGCTATAAATCCACAACAAAATATCAAATAGGAGTAAAAAAAAAATGTTTTGTTCCAACACATTCACATGATTAATAATATTTCAAATTACGTTTATGGTAAGTCAGAAACAGCTGATTCTATATCATTAAACGTGTTGTGTTAATACGTATCTGATAAAAAGAGAGTCATGACTGTATGAGGCAGGGAAAGGAAAGACAGGGACACAAAAGCAGAAAGTTTACCGAGTTGACAGCTGGACAACAGACAGTGTGAGAGACTGAGGTAGAGATGCTGCCGGAGCAGGAGACTTCTCCAGACAGCTTGTCATCAGCAGCCTCCCCAGCAGAGCCGCCGGTGCGAGAGAGCACATTATACATGCACGCTGATCTCCGAGGTGTTGTTTACCTCACACCCACAACCAACCAGCACTCCACCTCATCTAACCTTTCAAAACCAGCTCTCCCTGCAGGACCCCTGTCCTTCAAATGTCACTGCAGGAAGGTGTGTGGTGAGCGGTAAGTGTTCCTGTTTCTCTAAAACTGTGAGTTGTGGGTGTGTATGCAAGCAGGGCCGCCCCTCCCTACAGGCCAATCACGCAGGCTGCATGGGGCCCCGCCTTGCGCAGGGGGCCCCGCCCAGAGGGCCTCAGCTGCTGTGCGCAGTTCTCCGCTCAGTTCTCCGCGCACCCCCCGCGAGAGTGAGAGGTGACAAGGGGAGCACGTCTGTAACCCGACACCGTTGCAATGAATCGAAATCTGATCAATCACGGCTTTGATACGGCCACTAGTGCAGGTGAAGAGATGTCGGTGAAAAGACAGTTTCAGTCCGGCGCAAAAAAACAAAACATGAAGAAACTAGAGCATCACTCGAAGGTGGGTTATTGTATGAGTCAAATGTACTATTTGCGAATGTTATATAAATAAAATTGCCAATTGCCATATTAAAACATCAGCTGCAATTCACGACATGAAGAAGGCAGTCTCTGCATAGCATATAGGCTAATGGAGATGCAGTTATTTCCAGCATTCTTTATTTACCGTTCATTCAAGTCTGTTATGCATTTTATCTGCTAATGTACAGGAGGAAGAGTGATCAACTGTCTGTCTAGTTGGCTTACATAACAGTTAAAGTTTACAGCCTAAAAAACATGGAGCATTTTTCCCCTTTTATTCATTTGTATGTCAATTTGCACATTTCATGGTGATGCTCAGCCTCCCCCCTTAACTCCTAACAGTCATCATCATGTCAACCACAACACAGATAAATACTGATAGAAATGTGTGTGTAGTTGTTGATACATTGCTGACAGAGAGAACTATACAGATTTAAGAAATATCAGTTTTTGAGCATGTCATAAGCATGTTTTGTCTTGACTACAGTATATTACAACTATATTATAATAAAACAATATAGTATTTTTATTATTGAATTGATTATGATTATCATTATTAGTAGGAGTAGTTTATTTGCATTAATTATATTTTAATCTTTTTATTTTGAGGCTAGTATTTGGCAAAAAAAATGCTGAAAATCCTCCAGCATCATTGAAGTCTCCGGTTTGGAAACATTTTGGTTTCGCAGTTACGTACAAGGATGACGGACAAAGACAGGTGGACCGAACCAAAGTTGTTTGTCGGCATCGTTCAACTAAAATTGGTTACGCGGCTGGCAATACATCAAACTTGCACACTGCACACTCATTTGAAAAGGCTTCACCCGAACGTGAATATCAACGGTACCAAAAGAAAAAAGACTGAAGTGCAAACCCAACTCCCGCTAGCATTTAAGCCTCCACCACTCGCAAAAAGTTCAGACCGAGCCAAAGCTATTACAAACGCCAAATATCCTTATGTTGCCATGTTAGCAAAGCGCTACCTGGCTTTATCTGCTACCTCTGCCCCTAGCGAGAGGGTGTTCTCCACAGCAGGAGACACTGTTAGTGCCAGCAGATCTGCCCTTTCGGCAAGCAATGTGGACAAGTTCATTTTTCTTTAAAAAAACATGAAAATACAATGACAAGCAAGTCATAATGTCAAACTGGCTGCTTAGGTACTAGTACAGTACAGTTCAAATACAGATTATTTCAGTTCATCGAAATGCTGCACCTTAATGTTTATTTTATTATATTTTGTACTTATTTGAGTGAATACATTATTCACAGTTTAATAATAATAAAAAAAAAAAAAAAATATATTTTATGTTTTGTGATAATTTTTTCTGCTGTACCGAAAACGTACCGAACCGAACCGTGACCTAAAAACCGAGGTACGTACGAAACCG